AGGAACAAAAAATCCGATGCCAAAATTAGGTTCAGCAATCCTGAAAATCTACTCCTAGACCCCATCATGGCTGGGTGACCTTTTGGGCACATTTTAGTCCCCTTTTGGTATGGGAAATACACCACACAAACAGGGACACCCTCATGCCACCTCAAGTTCACCTGTCAACTCTGGTTGTACTACTCCCAAAACCATGAATAAAGATTGAGGATAAAAAAATACATACTACAAATTAACATAGGACAGCAATACAAACATACTAACTCCATTGTTCAGGATTATTATGTGTATGCCTTTACCAAATATAACTTGTTTAAGGAGGGTTCATCTTAATACACTCGGCAAAGGGGGCAACTGCCCAGGGGCTAGGCCTGGTTATGCCTTAAAGCACATTTTTACACTTATACTGTGAGCTAAAAATGGCTGCTGCTATGACTTTGCCTTGTTTATGAGCTCATTGCCATCCTAATTTAGAACCTTCTTTTTAAAAAGTTATAAAAAGAGAGAGAGAAAGGGGGCCCGGCAAGGATGTTTGGTCCAGGGCCCGTGCTGGCTCTTGATGCTCCTGACATCAACACACACCCATGAATTATGCCAAATATCAAAACTTTCTTCTTTATAAATAATTATGGACATTTATCAATTTACTTATATAAGGTTCTTTTTTTAGCATACTTAAGTATATATACAATAGTATTATTAATAATTTGACACCCACTGACCATGCTTAAACAGATACAAGTTACTTTTTTCTGAAACAACATTCCTTATGAATAAGGCAAACATGAGTCATTAAACAATATCTGTGGTACTATCCAATAACATCCAGCTTAGAATTAAGAGTCTGTATATAAAGTTATACCTAGCTATGTATGAAAGAGTCTGTAGTCATAACTAATAATATCCAGCTAGGTATTAAGGGATTCTAGTTCAATAATATTCAGATAAGAACAACTTTAATAATCCTGATAATAATTGTTTTCTTGTTATCCAAGCACTTTTGTTACATTTGTTAATTTTTTTTTATAAAAAGGGAAAAAAGTAATTACATAAAACTATTACTAAATTCTGAAAACAACAGATTTATTTCTGTTGCACTAGATGTTATAATCAACAATTCTGAATCAATACAAACCATTAATCTATGACTAAGGAAAATAGATTTAGATTTACGTGTAATGTGCACGTTTTTCCAGCTGATTCAATCAATCTCAGAGTAATACTGAAATGAGGTATCTTATTTTTGAGTAGACCAGATTCTGGTATATGTAAATGTAAAATTAATTCTAATTAGCCCTGTCAGATGCTTTAACTCTTACATTTGACAAACTGAAAACTAAGACAGTTATCAAACTTATCATTACAAGTTCTAGATCTTATGATATGATCTTACAAAAATGCCATAGTATAAACTGATCTTGGCAATGTTGATTTCAGTAGTTTAGCCTATCATTACAGCTGCCTAATTAACACAACTGTGTATTTGAATCCTGCTTGAGCTGACTTAGAATACAGTTCGGAATATCATTCTCTCTCTCTCTCCATTATCTACATGTTCAAATCATTCAAACTGATAGGAGAATAATTCTCTTCACTACAAGTTTTATGTGCAGTTAAATAACCTTTTTTATATTTATATCTGTACCAAGTTCTTTCATCCTATTATTTTGTATGAGGTTTAAAAAGATGGGTAAAAACAGTATACAAGGTCGTTACCCTTTTCAACTTTTTACTATTCAAACTGCAAAAACCACATTAGCAATAGGACATTAACAACTAGTTTCATTTGGGAATCCATGAGATAAAAAACAAATCCCACCATAAGATTCTGACCTCTTTGGTTTTTGCTCTTCTGTATCTGTACTTGAATGGTTGACATGGCCAGATGAGCTCCACTTCTTGGACTTCTCATTTCTTGTCTCACTCATTAAGCCATTAGCCGAGCCACATGATTCTGATCTTCTTCGTATCTCTCCACTAAGGGTTTGGTTATGGGTACTACCTTGGGAAGAAAGTTTTGCTGGAGCACTGATCCCCTGCCTTTCCATGTGAAAATTATTGGAAACTTCACTGTCTGAGTCAGTCTGTATGCTGCATAATTCTTCCAAACTTACAGTAAGGTTCTCAGAGTCTCTATGTAGTCTTCGTTGGATCAAACCCTCCATCAAGAAGTAATCCTCGGCTTCAGCTCCTTGTAAGATTTCCGTTTCTACGGCCTGAGCCTGACTCGATGTTGTAATGGTGCTGCGACTAAGGCTATTATGGGAAGGATGTAATAAATTTGTAAAGCAAGCAGCATTTTCTAAATCATCTGTAATACTGGTGTACTCTCCTCGAGTAGCTGCTAATGGTGGATGGGGTGAAGCAGGAAGAACATAGATGACAGGATCCTGATCAAATCGTCTTTGTGATCCAGATGATGTGCTCCTTGCAAATTTTATACTTGTTTGAGGAGATACTGAAATGTGAGAAGCTTGTTCTTCTACTTCAGATAAGGAGAAACTTAGGCCCCTACGTAAAAGTCGGTTAGAACGAGTTACAGGCCTTTCAGATAATTCACCTAACGTATCATCTGGAGAAGGGGCAGAATCTGAAACAGAAGCTGGGACTGAAGATTGCCTGGTTAGTCTAGAACCTGCTATTTGTGGAGTTTGTATTCGTCTTTGCAATAAACTGTTTTTAGAGGTTGTTTTATTGCCCACTTCAATAAATGGTGAAACTAAACTGATGCTTGAGGAGTCTTCATCAGTTTCTCCATTTGATATTTTTGAAGGACTTTCACTTTTTTCAGTATCCTGGCGCGTAACAGTTTGTGACTTTTCTGTCTTGGTGGGATGATAGCTAACATGATCATCTTCAATATTTGTAGTAATACACTGATTTAATGCCTCTGATTCCACCTCGCCAAGAAGCTTTCTACCAGGGTGAGCCTGTTGAGGTGTTTCTGCTTCATCCATCTGAGTGGCCATAAACCTGTGAATTACTGAAAGAGATGTGGAAGTCTGCTCTGCTAATTCTAACAACCTAGTTAGTCGAAAGTCCAAACTTTTGATGGAAGAACAGGACTCTTTCTCTCTCTGAATTATATCCTCCACTTTTTGTGATATTACTTCTACCCTGAAAAAAAATTAAAAATGTTTTGTAATACAAATGTTTAAGTTGATAAAATAAACTTCAAACCTTATGTGTATAAAGATTTTCAATGAGAGATAAAAAAAGAATGTGTTAAGATATCACTGTATTATAATGCAAGAAACTGCTATGAAAAATTACCTCTCTGCTGTCGATCGAACTTGTTCATCAGTAGACATCTGTTGTTTTCTTTCCTTTTCTCGAAAATATCCTTCAACACATTCTTCCTCAAAATCATTAATTTTTTCTACTTCATCTTCATCTAAAAATAGTTCTTAAAAAGAAAAACAACAGCACATGTTACATTAATTTTGTATAGGATTATTTCTTTACATCTTTAAACTTCAACAAAAAAATTATAATTTTTACAATTATAAACAAGTTTATACAAAACTGATTTAAATACATTTGTTTCTGTTATTCTTTTGAACACACAAAATATGGATTTCGAAATAATAAACAGCATACGTTTGACTAATTTAATGACAAATTAATATATTCTCTTCTTTTAAAACACAAAAAACTAACTTGTTAAAACATGAAAGGGAATATTTTATACAGATCTAAATACATCAACAGATGAATTGGTCTTCCCTTATTACAATAAACAAAGAATAGTAAAGACAAAGTACCTTTTGACAACATGTTTGTCAGCTTCAGTTTCACTGAAGTAGCAGTTTTTAAAGTCAGTGACTAGTGTTACATAAAATTATATTAATCGAACAAGTACATAGATGATATAAAACAAAGAGCTCTGTAACTTTAATGTACTTTGATACATCAATGATGATAACTTAAGAACAAATAATATCAGAAAATTTGTATAAAAGAAATCACAAAATAAGCCAGTTTTTCTATTACATATGTTGTGTTGATTCTAAGCTCATTTTCATGCTTTTAATCATTCTTCACAGAATCATTAATTTGATCATAATGAAATCACATCACTGTAAAATTAGTCATGGACAAACTGGAAATGATCCACAAGTTTCTAAGTATAACTTCATAATAAGTATTGAAATATTAACATTTTCGTACATTTTTACAATATACTCCTTTAGTTCCTTTACATTAATATCTTAAAACAGCATTTTGTTTTGTTTCTTTCTAAACTTATTTTTCAGTGACTTACACATGGAAAGTTTCGAGCATATTCTAGAAAGGGGCAATAATTCAATTAATTTTTATTTCCAGACTAACTTTACATTATTATTTTCTGTTGTAAGTTTTCATATTCATTTGTAAGCACTTCTTCAAGTGAAGACATTCGTTCCTTGGATGAGGAAAAGTGCCCGTAAACTTGCAACAAATAAATATGGAGTTGGCCTAGAAAATTATATTAACTTGCATTGAAAATTCATCACAGTTTTGATTACAATAGCATCTAGTATGTCTCAAAAAAACAAAAAAAAACACTAATTCCCACAAAATATCTTAAAAAGCTAATTTCCTTATAAGTTAACAGTTTCTTGAATTGAAAATATATTTCCAATAATTCTTACCTTCCTCATACTTATAGCTATTACTCAACTGCCAGGGTTTCTTGCTTTGCCCATCTAAGGATTGGTCTGATTTTTTTCTTGCTTGCTCCAGTCATTTATACCCCACTCAATTGCCCATGGCAATATTTATCTTGTGACATTCTCCACCTGTGTCAATAAGCTCTCTATCCTGGTACAGTATATAAGCCCCTCATTCAGATAATGTTATCACTTTTTCAGGACAGATACAATCCTAGTCTCTAACATCAGCTCTTAGTGGGGAGGAAGGGTGTGAGAGGAGGTAGGTATTATTGGAACTACATTTCCGATTTAAGAAAATGTTAACTTCCAAAACATACTTACCTCCACTTACATGTATAGCTAGAATCCCACATTGATAAGGTGGAGGGGCAAGTGATGGCATTATCCATATGGAAAGCATCTTCACAGATAATGGGTGTGTCAATAGAAGATTGGCACCCTAGAGAGGGAACTGCACTACATCCAGAACAGGTATTCTTTACACCCAGAACTTAATTCCTGTATTGTGGATGGAATTTTACTTGATTTATCAGCACTATAGGCCAGGCCCCATCCAGATGGCCAAAGTTCCCCTACTTAGGGTTGGAATTAAAGGGCCATGGCCCCTATATCCCACATTGGTGGTTAGGGCAATTGGACCTCAAACTATATATATATACACTTAAGAGTGGATCCCAACCAGTAGCCCATAGAGTGATGCATTCTGAGCCACCAGAATCACGACAAGAAAGTAAGCAACACTGAAGTGGACAAACCTTCTCCTCAACCTGAAGAAGTCCAAAAGGCAACACCCCAGGCTTGGAATGATAGGATCATGTACGCCTTACTCAACCTAGGAAAGAGAACTCATCTGGTCTGGAATTACGAGGAGGTAGTGATCCCTCTTCTATGAACAATGTACTGAACCAACATTGATCAAAAAGAAGGGCCAAGCTCAACCCAACTGGATAGCAATGCATCAAATCTGAACTGGTATTACAAGTAGGCTCCTACCAAAAAAACATCCAGGGACCCGAGTAGAAGGGTCCCCATCCTCACCCTCTTCTCCACGAGTGGAAGAGTACGCTCTAACATTGTGGAGGAAAAACTTCTGTTCACCACCCCAGTGACTGGAAACCAGGTATGGTAAGAACTTCCTAGTTCCACTAGTAGAATCTGGGGGGGTAATGCGCATTGAGGAATCCTGAGGAACAGTGCTCTGGAAAGAGTGCAATACGTGAACCAAGTTCCCTAAATTTTTTAAAAGCAAAACAACCCCGATTTATTCAATCCAATGATCGGAAGGGACAGGTAGGATCTCCTTATGCTTTACTCATGATAGTCCATGAGTGTCGGTGCAGCATAGCACAGTAATACCACCCAGTCAGCCTCTAGGTAGTCTTATGTAATACCACATTTCTACAGAGCTTGCTGCAACCTGTATAAAGTATATTGAATTATTGGTTGCTAGTGTGGAATTGGTTTGATAAAAGCACATCTATCTGTAGGTCAGCAGCCACGAAAAATAAACCTTCAGGAAAAGGAGATACATGACATATAAGAATCGGGTCACAAACAGGTGTTGAGAAAAAACATGTAACGTAACCTTAATACATCTGTTAGGTAACAAGAATGGTCATTTGGGACTAAGGACCCAAAGTGACTTGAGGATTCCAGAGAGTACTGAGGATTTAAAGAATATTTAGTCATGAGAATCAAACGTTAGTCAATAAGGAACCTTAAACAGGGCAATTGTTGAAGATGCAAAAACCCCTGTCAAAGAGCCAGGTCAAAAAACGAGTTATGGTTGGCCCTTCTCAGAGGAGTAGAAATACGATACCCTGTAGGAGCCGGTGAAATTTGAGACTCCAACAACAATGGGGATGAGTGTAGAAGCCAATAAATGAACCAATGTGCATGCTAACAATGGATCCAGCTCATCATCAATGAAGTTGGTAATCCAGAGAGTCTTCCAACAAAGTGAAGTAAAAGGAAAACAAAATATTGGATTTTAGAGTCATAAGTCCATAGACTTACCCTGGCCCATCAGAGGACATTGATCTACTCAGGTTAACTACTAACTCCACCTTAGAATCCCAAAAGTTGAGGAGCAGATGTATTAGTTGAGAGTTGGAAAATGCTTCAACCTGGTGGTGGTAGGCTAAATCATGAAGTTCTGATGACAATGTCAGATAAGGCATAACTGTCTCTTTATGTAACTGAAAAGTAAAGGATAGAGTGCACAATGACGTAGGCGGAGAGTGTCATGAGATAAGTTTTGCCAAGGGTAATTGAGTGGGTTGTTTGTTTGTAATTAAGCACAAAGCTACACAACGTGGTATCTGTGCTCTGCCCATCACGGGTATCGAAACCTAGATTCTAGCGTTGTAAGTCCACAGGCATACCACTGTGCCACTGGGGGGTGCAATTGAGGGGAGTATAAAAGACTGGAGCAAGCAAGAAAAAAATCAGACCAATGCTTAGATGGGCAAAGAAAGAAACCCTGGCAGTTGAGTAATAGCTATAAGTGTGAGGGAGTTAAGTATGTTTTGGAACTAAATTATCAAATAGCATTTCTTTTCAAATTTAATTTCATGAACAATACAACATATGCATAAGAGAAGCACACTTACTAAGACCATGATCAAAATTTTCTCTGAGTCCTCTCCACCGACGGAAGCAAAACTTTAGCAGAAGCAAAATGTGAGAGAGGATAATAAGAGGAGGTGGGAGGACAGGTTTCTGTTCATATTCCATGACAACTCGGAAACGTTGATATTTCCAAACCTGCTGGGATATGGCATTCACTTCAAAAAAGATGTTGCTGAGAAATAAATTAAATAAGAAAATCTTAAAAATTAATAGCATCATGTGTAAAAACAACAACAACACTAATTCAAAAAATTATTTATTAGTTTGGAGTTAAACAAAAGTACACTTTTAGATATTAGGCTAATTCAGTATTAAAGGAATAATCACACAGTTTAATAAAAATAATTAACACCATCTGATAAAATAATTCTTACAGTTTTTGACTTTGATCATATATTAATGAAAGTTAAAAACTTTCTTTCTTTTGCCCTCCACTTATGCCTTTCATGTCATGATAGATGCAAATGTCCTTCCAGGGCAAGGCGTGACATTTTAACAGTTGTTACTCTCATATTTTTAGCTGTTTCCTTGACATCATTAATCCAGTTCTTCCTTGGTCTTCCTCTGCTTCTGTTTTTTGTTGTAAATTATATGCTGGTAGCAACTATGGACTCATTTGCACTAAGTAGCTGAATTATATATATATATATATATATTTGTGTGTGTGTGTGAGAGAGAGAGAGAGAAAGCCCTAATGCATACCTTGATAGGCCAAACCCACTACTGTGACCTGCATGCAGTTTTGCCTATTCGAGGCTCATCAGAATAGCCTGGGTCAGCAGATCAAAGAAATACAGTTATGAGTCTTATAATGGTGATTTGCATATAAAATGTATGGGGTTTTTGAGTCCTTTCTAACTCTCCATATAATAACCTACATTAATCTCGGTGCGATTACTTTTACGGCATTGGAAGACATCCAATAGATGACACTGTTTGCTGTCTGAACACACCCTTGACACATGCTAGATGTTATATCTATCCAATCTGTCAGTCCACTTGATGTTCTAACAACACTCTTATACAAAATTCTCATGTTGTCCAGTAAGTTGGCTCTTACACCATAATATTCTAATACTGTCCATAATGCAGCTCTGTTGACTCAATCAAATGCCTTTTCCTGGTGAGTAAAAACTAAATTAAGTTGTTGATTATGTTCTACTGTCTTTTCACTTGGTTGTCATACTGTAAATATGGCATCAGTTCAACTTTTGCTCTTGAGAAACTCCCATCTGTGTATTGTTTATTTGTTTTTCAATTATTGATCTAAATCTATTTTCTACTATTTTTACAAACAACTTTCCCACATGAGTTAGTAGAAAGATCCTTCTATACTTTTCGCTGTCTCTCTTACTTCCTTTCTTTTTCTATATGGGTATAATGACCTGTATTTTCAGTCATCTGGTACTTTTTCTTCATAACACGCAGTGTTAAAAATTCTTGTGAACCATAATACCCCAACCTCTTCATATGTTTTTATGACTTCTGCACTTAACTTATTGTCATCTGCTACTTTCTTTGGAAGACTTAATTTATTGCTTGTTCAAATTCACTCCTCAGACTCTTCATGTTCTGAATAACTTGGAATAAACTGCTTTGTTTCTTGAAAGCTTTCTTTGCTGTCAGATTTCAAAAATTGTTTGAAGTAATCTGCTCATCTTGCTCTAATCATCATCCATCAATGGAATTTCTTTTAAATCATTAATTATTGTTGTATGGTCAAAAAACTCATTCCATTGTTTTATATTGACTTTACATATTTATAGAACTCTCTTGATTCTTTCATGCATTTCTGAAACAGATCTTCTCCAAACTTCTTCCATGACATCTCTCTTGCTTCTTTTACTACTCATTCATTCTTTCTTCTGGTTATGCAGAAGATTACATAGTCATTGTCTACATGTATTTTTTCCATTTTTTGAAAGCTTTCTTTTTCTCCTTTATGGCTTCTTCCTCTCTCTTCTACCATACTGTTTCTTATTTTTTCAGTTTTCCTATTTTTCTTGTCCCACAGCAGTCTTTTAGTACTGATGTAAAGTCTTCTTTGAATCTTCCCCATTCTTCATCAGTGCTGCATGTCTCTTCAGAAATTCTCTCCAATTTTGGCTTTCACCCTATTCCTTACTTCCTGTGGTTTATTTCACATGATATCTTTACATTAAATTTTCTAAATTTCTACACATGTAAGTAAATATGATATGCACATAAATATAATTGAATTTTTATCTGAAAAAGATGAACTGAGCAAATAGAATATTTGAAAAATTCACAGCAAAGCCTCCAATGGATTCATTTCATACATGCGTGAAAAACTACTACTACTACTAAGAAAAGTAAAAAAAAAGAAAGAAATTTTCAGCTTTATAATCCAACATTAGAAATAACACGGCAGAATGTTACAACTCCGTGAATCTAAATGTACTTAATAATAAAACAGTCTTATTGCAGTAATGTACTTTCCCAAAAGGTAATACTAATATATTAATATTCATGTAGACTGTGAAATAAATAATACAAATTATTAAATTTAATCCTCTCTCTCTCTCAAATGAAAATATGAATTTAAAGTAATGCAGAAAAGTATCAAGTATCTACAGTACACTTCAGATTCTGAAAATGTTAAGCTGAGAATAAATTGACCTTGGACGGCATAAGAAACAAATCAAACACAGATGAATGGATGAAGCAGCCACACAAAGTACTTGTTGGTAGGATTTTATCATATTCTGGCTAGCTTTAAAGTACTGTTTATGAATAATTTCTGACTTCTGGAGCAGATTGGTAGTGGATCTATGATCATGATAACACTTTAAAATTGGATGAAAGTCCTAATATGGTATCCTACAATCCTTGGTTATCTAAGTAAATGATATTCCCTTCAAATAATATTCAAGAGAGATACCTCCCCTGCCTCCAAGTCATATTAACTTGTGCGTGTCTCTCTACACCCCTTGAAATGACTCCAGGATGGCATGACAAATAAAGATCATGCAAGTGTAAGTTTTACTGAAAAATCACTGTGGTATGTAGTATTTGTCTATGCTAGAACAAGTTCATAAAATTGTATATCTTATTTACAAAGGCATCAACTCTTGCAAGTAAATTTAGAAAAATTAACCAGAATATATCTGAATAAAAGATATAATATTTATAGCTAGAGAAAGGTGATATACAACAACTCTCTCCGCACAAAGAGTACTAGAGCATTACATATAACATCCATTTGTATTCAAACTATTTAACATCCCTAATTATACTACTATGTTACTACCACCAATTAAACATCCTTATATAAATACTAAATCATAGTCTACATGATTATTTTTAGTTCAATGATAAGCACCTAAACTGAGGCAAATTCGTCAGTATGATACAAACTTATAAGGGATATCACTATAAAGAACAGTTAAACAATGTTATAAGATTAGTACCAGACGTCATCACCCAGTACTTTATAGTTTGGTAAGACAACATAACTGTTAATCTTATTGTAACTGACTAGGCTATAATGATACCAAAAGGGCACCAGCAGAATAAAGTAAATCAAGAAATACTTTTACTCATTACATTAAATATGGGTAGATACATACAAAGGTGTAAGCCTCTCACATGTCTAATACCACTTTAACTCAGAAGTTGTTGTTCATACTTAGTTGACAAATTTTGGAAAGTAAGTAAACAGGAAGGGGCAACACTGACCTCAGTATATCACACACACACATACAAAAGTGCCCTGCACTGGCAATTGCACTGAAAAGAACAAGAACTATTACAGAGAAGCTAACATTTGTAGAAGGGGCTGTAAAAAGCCTAGGCATTATCCTTATATCATGGACATAAATTATGAACACCTTTTGTACATAAGTTTTTTATCTTTATCCACATTATTATTCAACTAAATTCTGAATGTGTCTTTCTGCTTATAACTGACAAACCACTGAACCAACTGTCATCAAACTTAGTATGTATTAAGACTCCCAGGGACCATATGTCTTCCCTATGCATTGAACAGGAATGTCAGCTTCTATTCTTTTGAACAACAAGGCTTGAATACCCTAAATATTATACCATATTTTTCAAATTCACCAATGTTGCAAAAATGTTTTCACAAATAATCTTAATAATATGGAAGAAAGTGCTATAAATACACTAATATGGACTAAATATGCTTTAATATCACTATTCTATAATAGTATATTTAACATGTAGAATGAAAAAAAATTCTTACTTGAAAACTGCAATAAGTAGGTTGACCAGAAGGATGTTAGCAATTAATAAATAAATGGCCATTATTGCAGGGTTCAGCCACATTCCTGTTCGACAAGGGAACATGCCTTCCCCATCTCCACACTCAGCTGACAAATTAGTCAAATGCAAAATTAACATTCTAGTGTATTCAAGTAGTCACTACAGTTCATTTTTATTATTACTAATTTTCCACCTTTGATAGTAAATTAAGTTATATTGGACAGACTAGAGGAAGTTAATAACATTTTCTACAGTTTTTATTTCAGTATAAAATAAATAATTCTAAATAGACATTAAGAACTTCGTATCCTTTACACTTAAATTATAAACAATTTATTACATGTTATTCTAACATAAGTATATGAAGACAAAATGCATTTCTGATCTCTAAATTTTATTACATTTGATAATTTTTAACAAAAAGTCTTTTATTCAATACATAGTACTATTACATTACATATTCAATTCACAAGCTATCCTTAGTGGAAACAAATTAAAGAAGATATATATATAAAGAATAATGTAACATGAAGCAGCCAATACCTTAAGCCCTCCTGTATCATGAAAAGATAATTAGAAGTGAGTAATGAAATTTTAATCACATGTAATAAGTATGAAGCTATCATTAATGCTCTATTGTAGAACTATAATACTCATAGTCCTAATGCCAGTCATCAACAAAGACCAAAAGTAAGTAGAGAACTTACGATCTATGCTGTCAGCATACACTTCTCCATACAACATCCAATAGGGCATGTGGAAAATGTTTCGTGCTAGACGCCATGAAGGTTCCTCGTACGGGTACAGAATTGACTGCCGGGCTACTCCGTAGCTCATAAGAACTACCAAAAGCAGCACCACAAAGTAGATCATATTCATCACCTGAGTAGTAAATTTTTACAGAAAACTAATTACTTCCAATTGGGGAAAAAAAATAGAAACAATACTGTGAATTTCTTTTTGTAATAGGAAAACTAAAAAAAGGTACAAGTTTTTTAAACATGATTTTCACTTATTATAATACAAGAACCAACATTATAGACCACATAAGCAGTGTAAGAAATGTATTATAACTCTAATTTTTTAGCGAACTTGATATAATATAAAACTACTGAAAGATGGGTATTTATTAAGAGCCATATTTGAAGATGAGAAACTAAATAATGGACTTTTAGGCTAGCATTCAATACTTTGATCTTTTTGAAAACTATCATGGTCTACAGTAATGTAACTTTTGTGAATTTCTTCATAAGAGTTACAAAAACTTTTCCAATAAGAAACTGAACTCTATTTTTACATCTGGAATAAGCTGTGACAGAAAAAAATCCTTTAATATCAAATACCTTTTGAAAAACACTTATATCATGTGTTTATTTTACGTGTTAACAAATAATGCCAAAAAATTCCGTTTGTGCATTCTGTGACAACAGAAGATGAAATACAAATAAAATCGTCATGACAAATTTATGAGACTAGAAATATGTTTAAGTTTTTCAAACTTGACACTACGTATTGACCAAGTAATTAATATAGACTCAATGGATTAAAAAACTTCTGAATAAGAAAAAACAGTCATTGAACACTGTATGTTAACAATGATCATTCTACATATTTGAATTATAATGTTTTATACAGAAATTAGAAAACACCTCCTTTTTTAACAATAAGCATAAAGAAATGCAGTAAAATGTGATAGCAGTATCATGCTCCAGATGTTGGTTATTCTAGAATCATTCAAACATCCTAAAATCTAAGTGTTTCATCAGTGAGTAATGGAGTTTGTTCATGGGATTAAGATGTATATTTTTTAAAGCTATAGATTAAAAAAAACAGACTGAAAAAATCTGAAAAGTTTATGAGATAAATAATATTTTTTTACAGTCTGAACAGTTTCAACAGCCAAATTGTGACACTTGGCTTAGCTCTCATCCAGTTGGTAGCCAAGATTGTTAATCCTTTCGATACAGGTACCCCCTTTAAAAACTTTTCTGGATAAGTCACTGTGTTACATCCAAAATTTAATTAAATACCTTTACTATCAATATATGTGAATGAAATTACCATTATAATGTATGTTGCGATTCAAAGTTTTATGTTATCTAAATTTCAGGTCCTTTATTTCAAAAGAAACCTTTAAAAAAACTACTTATACTTCAGATGTATTGTCACATGACCCACGATCTATGAAAATTCTCTATTTTAGCACTCTGTATCTTCAGTAATACAGTGGCAGTACAGTAGATGTACACAAGTAAATAGACACCTAATTGTTCGTCATTTAACTGATTTATGCTAACTAATTTGTGTTCACAGAGCACTATATAAATGAAAATGGTCCTCCCACACTAATTATCTAGTGTTACAACATGCCTAGAACTCAAGGTTCTCTCTAATTTTCAGATTTTGTTAGAGGAAGGATAGTTGGTCATGCAGATGGTGGAATAAGTCAGCGGCAAATTTCGCAGAATTTGGGAATCCCGCTTTCGACAGTCAACAGTATTATCATGCAGTTCAGGAAACAACTGAGCAGCGTCCGTGTCGTCCTGGTCCATCGAAGAGGACAAAAATGGCAGTCAAGAGGAGCATCGAAATGGATCCTAGATTAACAACTGCAGAAATGGCCAAAGTTGGTGGGATGAGCCCGAAATCTATTCAACGGATTCTCCACAGATTGGGTTATCGTTGCAGAAACCCTTATTAAGACCTGTCAACATAGTCAGACGAAAGAAGTGGGCAAGTGATATGATGACCAAGCCTCTGAACTTTTGGAAGACCGTATTGTTCGCAGACGAATCAAGATTCGCTCAAT